GTCTGGTGACCCTTCCTCAGAACTGTTCTGAGGAAGGGTCACCGGACACAAAACATTAACTCTGTTTTCTCCTTCACAGATGCTGCCAGACCTGCTAAGCTTTTCCAGCAACTTTGTTTTTGTCACAGTTATATTAAATCTGTTACAAAGTCAATAGCAAGGAATAAAACAGAACAGACCCGAGCACTGCTAATGACAACAGTAACAGCCCTGTTGACCCTTCAAACTCCTATTTAGTTGGGAGCTTGTGCCAAAACTGAACATAAGAACCATGAACAGGAGTCTTTTCTCTCAATCATTTGTAGAATTTGTGCATCACTGGCTGGGCCAGCATGTATTATCTGTCCCTCGTTGCCCTGAGAAGGTGGTGGGGAGCTGCCTTCTTGAACTGCTGCAGTCCCTGTGCTGTAGGTAGACCAACAATGCCCTTAGGGAGGGAATTCCAGGATTTTGACCCATCAACAGTGAAGGAACAGCGATATATTTCCAAGTAAGGATGGTGAGTGGCTTGGAGAGGATCTTGCAGGTGGCAGTGTTCCCATGTATCTGCTGCTGTTGTCCTTCCAGATGGATTGGGTTTGGAAGGTGCTGACTAAGGATTTATGATGAATTTCTGTAGTGCATCTTGTAAATATTACACACTGCTGCTACTGAGTGTTGGTGATTGAGGTAGTGGATGCTTGTGTATGTGCCAATCAAGTGGGCTTCTTTGTCCTGGATGATGTTGGGCTTCTTGAATGTTGGAATGCACTCATCCATCCACTCAGCATGCACCTGATTGTGACTTGTAGATGGTGGACAGGCTTTGGGGAGTCAGGTGGTGAGTTACTTGCTGCAGTATTCCTAGCCTCTAACCTGTTCTTGTAGTCACTGTATTTATGTGGTGAGTCCAGTTGAGTTTTTGGTGGAGGATTCAGTGATGGTATTACCATTGAATATCATGGGGCTGTAGTTAGATTCTCTCTTCTTGGAAGTGGTCATTGCCTGGCATTTGTGTGGCGCAAATGTTACTTGCCACTTATCAGCCCAAGTCTGGATATTGTTCAGATACAACAAGATCTGGACACGGATTGCTTCAGTATCTAAAGAGTCACGAGTGGTGCTGAATATTATGCAATCATCAGCAAACATCCCCACTTCTGACCTTATGATAGAGGGAATGTCATTGCTGAAGTAGCTGAAGATAGCTGGGGCTAGGACACAACCCGGACGAACTCCTACAGAGATGTTCTGGAGCTGAGATGACTGATCTGAAACAACCACGATCATTTTCCTATGTGTCAGGTATGACACCAACCACTGGAGCATTTTCCCCCTGATACCTTTCGTTGGCTTTCATTGACAGGGGAATTGAGTTTAACAGCCACGATGTTATGCTGCAGCTCCATAAAACCCTGGTTAGACCACTTCGAATATTGTGTTCAGTTCTGGTCACCTCATTATAGGAAAGATGTGGAAGCTTTAGAGAGGGTGCAGAGGAGATTTACCAGGATGCTGCCTGTACTGGAGGGCAGGTTTTATGAGGAAAGATTGAGGGAACTAGGGTTTTTTTCATTGGAGCGAAGAAGGTTGAGAAGTGACTTGATAGAGGTGTACAAGATAATGAGAGGCATAGATAGAGGGGATAGCCAGAGACTTTTTCCCAGGGCAGAAATGACTATTATGAGGGGGCATAATTTTAAGGTGATTGGACGAAGGTATAGGGGAGATGTCAGAGGTAGGTTCTTTACACAGAGAGTGGTGGGTGTGTGGAATGCGCTGCTGGCAGTAGTAGTGGAGTCAGATACTTTAAGCGACTCTTGGATAGGCACATGGAGGATAGTAAAATGTAGGGTATGCAGGGTAGATTGATCTTAGTAGGATAATAGGTGGGCACAACATCGTGGGCCGAAGGGCCTGTACTGTGTTATACTGTTCTATCTTCTATATTCTAGACCCATTGATTCCAGTTTTGCCAGGGCTCCTTGATGCCACGCTTAGTTGAATGCAGCCTTGATGTCAAGGGCTGTTACTCTCACCTCACCTCTGGAATTCAGCTGTTTTGTCCATGTTTGAACCAAGGCTGTAATGAGGTCAGGAGCTGAGTGGCCCTGGTGGAACCCAAACTGGGCGTCACTGAGAAGATTGTTGCTGAGCTGATGCTGCTTGATAGCACTGTTGGTCACACTTTCCATCACTTGACTGATAAGTGAGAGTAGATTATGGGATGGTAATTGGCCAGGTAGGATCTGTCCCACTTTTTGTGTACAGGACATACCTGGGCAATTTTCCACATTGTTGGGTAGATGCCAGTGTTATAACTGTACTGGAACAGCTTGGCTAGAGGAGCACAAGTCTTCAGTCCTATTGCCAGAATGTTGTCAGGGCCCATAGCCTTTGCAGTATCCAGTGTCTCCAACCGTTCCTTGATATCATGTGGAGTGAATCGAATTGGCTGAAGACTGGTATCTGTAATGCTGGGGACCACTGGAGGAGGCCGAGATGGATCATCCACTCGGCACTTCTGGCGGAAGATTGCTGCGAATGCTTCAGCCTTATCTTTTGCACTGATGTGCTGGGCTCTTCCATCATTAAGGATGGGGATATTTGTGGACCTTCCTTCTCCAGTGAGTTGTTTAATTCATTGACTGGATGTGACAGGACTGCATAGTTTATATTTAATCCGTTGGTTGTGGGATCACTTAGCTCTGTCTATCACTTGCTGCTTATGTTGTTTGATGTGCAAATAGTCCTGTTTGGTGGCTTCACCAGGTTGACACCTCATCTTCAGGTATGCCTTTTGCTGCTCCTGGCATTCCCTCCTGCACTCTCCATTGAACCAATGTTGATCCCCTGGCTTTATGGCAATGGTTAGGTGGGGGATATGCCGGGCCATGAGGTTACAGATTGTGTTGGAGTACAATTCTGCTGCTGTTGATGGCCCACAGCGCCTCATGGATGCCCAGCCTTGAGTTGCTAGATCTGTGCGAAGTCTGTCCCATTTAGCACGGTGATAGTGCCGCACAGCACGATGGAAGTTATTCTCAATGTGAAGGCGGGACTTCGTCTCCACAAGGACTGTGCGATGGTCACTCTTACCGATACTGTCATGGACAGATGTGTCTGCAGCTGGCAGAGTAGTAAGGATGAGGTCAAGTTTGTTTTTCCCTCTTGTTTGTTCCCTCACCACCTACCACAGACCCAGTCTAGCAGCTATGTCCTTTAGGATCCGACCAGCTCGATCTGTAGTACTGCTGCCGAGCCACACTCGGTGGTGGACATTGAAATCTCCCACCCAGAGTACATTTTGTGCCCTTGTCTCCCTCAGTGTTTTCTCCAAGTGTTGTTCGATGTGGAAGAGTACTGATTCATCAGCTGAGGGAGGACGATACGGGGTAGTTAGCAGGAGGTTTCCTTGTCCTTGTTTAACCTGAAACCATGAGACTTGATGGGATTTGGAGTCAATGTTGAAGCAACTCCCTCCTGTCTATATACCACTGTGCCACCACCTCTGTTGGTTCTGTCCTGCTTGTGGGACAGGACATATCCAGGGATGGTGATGGTGGTGTCTGGGACATTGCCTGTAACGTATGATTCTATGAGTATGACAATGTCAGGCTGTTGCTTGACTAGTCTGTGAGACAGCTCTCCCAGTTTTGGCACTAACCCCCAGATGTTAGTGAGGAGGACTTTGCAGGGTCGACAGGGCTGTTTCTGCTGTTATCTTTTCCAGTGCTCAGGTCAAAGCCAGGTGATCCACCCCGGTTTCATTTCTTTGTTAAGACTTCATAGTGAACGATATAACTGAGTTGCTTGCTAGTTCATTTCAGAGGGCAATTGAGAGTTATCCATATGGCTGTAGGTCTGGAGTCACATGTAGGCCAGACTGGGTAAGGATGGCAGGTTCCATCCCTAAAGGACATTAGTGAGCCAGTAGGTTCTTCTGACAATTGACTTGGTCATCATTAGGCTCTTAATTCCAGACTTTTTTTTATTGATTTCAAATTCGACCATTTGCTGTGATGGGATTTGAACCCAGGTCCCTAGAACATTAGCTGAGTTTCTGGACTAAAAGTCTAGCGATAATACCAGTAGGCCATTTCCTCCCCTGTTGGCAATTTAGCCCCTTGAGTCTACTCTGCTATTTGATACAATCATAGCTGTTCTCGTCTCAGCCTCAACTCCTCCTTCCTGCCTGCTCCCCATTAACCTTTCAACCTGTTGCTAATAAAATTCTATTTCTGGTTAAAGGGTTACGGGGATGGGCAGGAAAGTGGAGTGAAGGCTGAGATGAGATCAATTTATTGAGAAGTCACAGATTCAGGACATGCAGGAAGATTATTTCAGACTGAGATGAACAGAAATGTCTTCACTCTGAGGGTGGGGAGCTTGTGCAATTCACTACCATGAGGAATCTGAGGAAATGAATATGTCAAAGAAATGTGAGAGTGTTTAGAGGCTGAATACATGAAGGTGTGTCGGGAGAGAGCGGGAGTATGGCATTGAGATGGAGGATCAGCCATGAATATGTTGAATAAAGGAGCAGTCCTGATGGGCTGAATGGCCCACTCCTGGTCTGGATCCTGTGAAGTCTCATGGCATCAAGTCAAACATGTGCAAAGAAAGCTCCTGTAGGTTATCAGCTTCTGCCACCCATACTCAGCTGATGAGATTCTGTACACCTCTCTGTTGGTCACTGTGTGTTGGAAGCACTGTAAGGGTCCTCAGAATGGTCTCTGGGTGGGGGAGTTCAATGTCAATGGTCTTTTTTCATTTATTGATAGGATGTGATCACAAAGCTGTGCAGGGCCAGGGGTACCTGCCCTGTGTGTCAATCGCCTGCATCCACGGTTAGATTGCTGTGTCCCACTGTGCTGGGCCTGGTTGGCCATCTGCCAGCAGCCCCACGCTCAACACATCTTTGCTAATATTTGGACCACTGCCTCCTCTGCAGAAGAACAGCCTGAATAGAAAAGGGCAATAAAAACAAGTCACCAAAGCTCTGGAAGAATTAACAGTCAACAATGCTAGGGAGGGTAGGAACAACTGGCAAGGGCACAAGAATGGGAGTTTGCATGGAGCACAAGTCTGGTTTGTGACATGAATGCTGTGCTTAGTTCATAACCTAACAAAATCTCCATTTCTTTCCAGATTTAGCAGCGGATGATTTGGTAAGTTATTAATAAAACTAAGATACTGACCCTCACTGGGGTATGGCTCCCACACACTCTGACTCTCACTGGGGTACGGTCCCATACACACTGACTCACACTGGGGTACGGCTCCCACACACACTGACTCTCACTGGGGTATGGCTCCCACACACTGACTCTCACTGGGGTACGGCTTCCACACACACTGACTCTCACTGGGGTACGGCTTCCACACACACTGACTCTCACTGGGATATGGCTCCCACACACACTGACCGTCACTGGGGTACGGCTCCCACACACACTGACTCTCACTGGGGTACGGCTCCCACACACACTGACTCTCACTGGGGTACGGCTCCCACACACACTGACTCTCACTGCGGTACGGCTCCCACACACACTGACTCTCACTGGGGTACGGCTCCCACACACACTGACTCTCACTGGGGTACGGCTCCCACACACACTGACTCTCACTGAGGTACGGCTCCCACACACAGTGACTCTCACTGGGGTACGACTCCCATACACGCAGATTTTCAGTGAGAGCATGTTCTGGTGACCTTGTTATGTAATCTTGTGAATGTAATGCTGGAACTATCTATGTCACTGGTTAGGCCAGTGCTGGATTTTTGTGTACAGTTCCAGTCACCCTATTACAGGGAGGTCACAATTGTTCCAGAGAGAGTGCGGAGGAGATTTACAAGAATGTTGCAAATGCTTGAAAATTGCATGGTTGAGGGAAGATTGGATAGGTAAAAGGCTGGTTTCCCTGGAACAGAGGAGGTTGACAGGTGACTTAATCGGCACAATTTGAGCTGAAGCTGGCTGACATTTCCTCTCCTGTCCTGTTCACTGAACAGTTTGCACAAACTCACCTTGTTTCACACACAAAAAAATGACTTTGCTGTTTTTCTTCACAGGACGGAGGACAGCCAGTGGCAGCAGGTACGTGTAAATCCCTGTGTGAGGAGAACACTCCAAACAGCAAGTTCTCAACTTCCCGCTATCACAATGCAGTAACAGCCAACATGGTCACTGCAGGAATCTAGGAATAGGCAGCCAATATGCACACAGCAAGATACCACATATTGTGATGTGATAACAAGCCAATCATCTGTTGTGTCAGGTTGATGGGCGATTATCAGTCAAGTCACCAGCAGAAACTCCCCTGCCCTTAATCAAATGTTAACCAAAAAATATTACACATCCACCTGGCATTTTGATTAATTTCTCCAAAGGATGGCATCTACAACATTGCACTCCCTCAGCACTGACCTTCCGACAGTGCGGCGCTCCCTCAGCACTAACCGTGTGACAGTGCGGCGCTCCCTCAGCACTGACCCTGTGACAGTGCGGCGCTCCCTCAGTACTGACCCTCCCACAGTGCGGCGCTC